AAATTAGCAGCCAAATGAGACAAGAAACAGATGATATGCTTGGAAAGAAAAGGGCAAGAAACAAATTATTATTTTTTAAAATCTCATTTCGAAAATCAAAGCAGCCCAACGTATAAAGGAAAAAGACACATTTCGGAGACGAATTAACAATAAACAAGGGAGCCAAATCCAAACAAGATTATGGTGGACCACCAATATAACTGCTAGCTGAAATACACAAGACAAAGAAGACATTCCAGTTGCAAGAACAGAGATAGATTCTACAAAATTAGGCAAGCATATGGAAGTTCCAATCGATAGAGAAGACAACCAAGAGCATAAATGAACAGTGGAGAAGTAGAACTGTACCGCTAATGCACTCAAAATAATGAGCATAAAACTATTTTGAACAAAATGAAGCAGTGAAGGAACAGGACTACACAACTAGCATTCTCAAACCGAAAATCAAATAAATATCGAGCTATTCAAGGCGAAAAATGAGGCAAGGATTTAAGGTACTCTATAGAACCAACAGACCCAAAAAGATTGACACCTTAATCACCCAAAGAGACTTCATCAAAGACTATCTATGATTATTTCCCGTAAATCAGAAGAACGCCACATTGAAGGAGAAATAATAAGACGAGGACATTACCTTTTCCGATACAGCGACGGGGACGGCAACGAGCGAGAAACTGACTTCCACCACCGACTCTAAACCTCCACGAACTCGAAAGAGCAACGAAGAGAGTAAGGGAGTGAAACTCAGTTCAAAATCGATCCTACCATTTGTTCTCTTGTGTGATTCTTTCTGATTTCTGTATCTAGTTCTCACTTCTTCTTTTTTCGCAAACTAAATTCTCCGTAGTATTTTCTACTAAAAATGCCAACCTCTTTTTTTTTTAACCTTTTTCCAACTCAAATCTTTTCTCTTCTTTTTTTCGTTTCCCCCCAAAAAAAAAATCCCCCCCCTCCCAGTGAACAATAACAACATATATAGGAGAGAGAATAGGGTTCGGAAATGAGAGAAGAAGGTACGAAAATTTTCGGTTCAAGGCCCATTCCCAAATTCAAAATTTGAAATCCTTTCCATTAAAGGGGAGACACCCTTTTCTGAAGATTTCACCCCATTCCGGAAGAGGAATGGGGGCAGACGCGTGCTTGCTCACTGCTGAAAACGTACAATTTGAGAGGGACGGGAGAAAGACGACACAACAGTTGGATTGGAATCGCTGGTACGCGCGATTGGACTAGAATCGCCGGAACTGACGCCGTGAGGAGACGTTGTATTGTTGCTGTTTTGAGCTGCTGTTGAAGACGTTTCTGGGTCTTCTAGTTGAATGCAAATGGGCCGGGTCAAGGGAATTTCTGTACGTTATTGGGTTGCTGAAATTGTGGGGAATTAATAGAATGGGCTGCTGTACGTGTACATTTGCTGGAAGCACAAGAATGGGCTGTTGGAAAATATGCTGGAGGAATATTGAATGCCAATGAAGAAGTGGGCCGCTGGAAATGTTTTGGACAGCAAAGGGTCCAATTTCTTGGTCAAATGAGTTTAGGAAATTCGGCTAATAAATCATTATTTTTAATCGAATTGAGTGATCAATTGCATTACAAATTTAGCCAATGAATTAGGAACGTAGTCAAATGGAATTCATTTGGTAAGCTCGGCTAGTAACTAAATAAGACGAATTAATATAATTAATTTATGAGCTCTTTAATCTCAACAAAATATAATAATTAACTCGATTGTAAACTAAAGACTCAAAACATGAACTACTAATTTAGACAAATTAATTTAATAAAGTATTTAAGTAAAACTAAATTCTTTTTGAGATAATTTTTGAATGTTCATAAGATATACTAATTACATATATAATTACATGAAATATATTTATAATTTATAAATTATGAAAATCACCTAAGATTACTCAAAATGACTTTGAAAAGTATTCGAATTTTATAAAACTAATTATTCTAAATCGTTTGGGAATTAAGAAGCTCGTGAATTAATTCCTATCGGGGAGGGTCAAAATTGGGTGTCAACACTCCCTCTGTCCCATTTTATAAGAGTTAGTTTGACTCAGTATGGAGTTTAAGAAAGAAAGGAAGACTTTTAAAACTAGTGGTCTAAAATGACTGATACAAATTTGTATGACTATAAATCATTTCATTAAGAGTAAGATGAACATTTTAAAGTTAAATGTGTCATTCTATTTGGGACGGATTAAAAAGAAAAGTAAATCATATAAACTGGGATTGGGATAGAGGGAGTAAATATTAGCGGAATTTGTGTCGATTCTATCTACTCGTGAGTGTAACTAATTGAAAATATAATTGCAGGCATGAGGTTGTTGGTGTGGTAACTGAGGTCGGAAGCAAGGTGGAGAAATGTAAGGTTGGAGACAAAGTAGATGTTGGATGTATGGTAGGATCATGTCGAAAATGTGAGAATTGTATATATAATGTGGAAAACTGGAAGGAAGCTAGTGGCTGGAAGTTGCATAGGAGGTATGAAAGAGACTTGAGAAATGTTGGATTTCGCGGCCAAGCATAACATAACACCAGATGTTGAAGTCGTGCCAATGGACTACGTGAACACAGCATTGGAACATCTTCTGAAATCGGATGTGAAATATCGTTTCGTGCTCGATATTGGTAATATATTGAACAAGAAATGAGAATATTAATGGGGGGGGAGGGGGGGTTCAATTATGTAGCAGTGTTTCTTAGCTTAGATTACATTAATTTCAGAGATGATTAATCAAATGCCTTTCTTGCACTTACTAAAATAGACTAGATGATATAAGCCCGTGCAAGTATGGGCCCAACGATCTGCTATCGTGACCGACAAAGAACAGTGTCGTACTTTATATTGTATTTGATTGTTTCATAATCCAACTTATTGCTAATGCTTTTAGGAGATAAAATTGGGTTGAAAGAACACTGTATATATAAAAGAGTGGTTAGGAAGAGAGAAAGTGAACTGACTTTAGCGGGAAAGGAAAAACATAAGAGGTGGAATTTTATTATCATGATTCATGAATAACACGTTAATATTCACAACTATTTGTACTACAACTATCATTTAGTACAATTTTTCAGTTCTAGAGTAACTATTGTTGTTTCTAAAACAGCTTCAAGAACTATCAGTTAGTTGTGTTGTATCCTGAGAAGATGAAGCCTACAGGGCTGCAACACAGATCAAGCTAACATCAGTACAGTCATAGTATACATAGATGATAAACAGGTTTGAAATACTTTCAGAAATTCTCTCTTTGTCAATTAGTCAAATTATATTCAACAACCTCTCTTATAACATTAAATGAAGTTGCAGTTAATGGCAACAAAGGGACCAACGAAAAACAAATTAAAAAAAATTGGAGCACCTTTCTTACCTTATAAATAATGAAATGGCTAGCTAAAAGTCCAATCACAAGCTCAAATTACCCCTGCTACGACCTCAAAGAATCTGCATTTTCAATATTGAAACAATGTCATAGATTCAAGAGAGTATATATCAACTGAGACAATTTGTAGATAATAATCAGTTTGCAAATTGGTTCTTTAATAACTTAAGCAGAACTCCCAACAACAGAACAATAATAAGCTATATGCGGAAGAATAAGAAACCTAAAAATTCAATTTTTGTTACACCAATCCAAACTCCCTACCCTCATGGAAAAAAACGCCCTCCTAATTAATTCCATGCTTCCTAGTATGCCAAGAAGCTGACCCCTTTATTTCCATACTTCCTACAATGTAAATAATAAATTTTAGACGCAATATTTTACAGTACCATTACAGATTTTCAGAACAATTTATAATAGATAATTAATCAAAGAACATGTTCATCGCAACTTCAACAATAAAAAAAGGGAAAATGCATAAGTACCCCCCAGCCTATGCCCGAAATCCCAGAGACACACTTAACCTTTACTAAGGTCCTATTACCCCCCCGAACTTAATTTATCTATAATATTCTACCCCTTTTCGGCCTACGTGGCACTATCCTTGAAAAAATTGTCAACATGCGCTGGGCCCACCTGATAGTGCCACGTAGGCCGAAAAGGGGTAGAATATTATAGATAAATTAAGTTCGGGGGGGTAATAGGACCTTAGTAAAGATTAGGTGTGTCT